AGCCGTTCCTGAGCGGAACAGGCTTCCCCGGGAGGTGGGGGGGCTCTCCTGCTTTGGAGGTTTTCAAACAGAGACTAGATGGCCACCTGTCATCAATGCTGATTCTGTGAACTGAAGCAGATCACGAGAGGGAGGGCAGGAAGGGTCGCATCAGTGCTTAGTTCTTGTGGCCCTTTCTTACACGCCCAGGGAAATGCTGATCGCCACTTTGGGCTCAGGAAGCAATTTTTCTCCAGGCCAGTTTGGCCAGGGATCCTGGAGGTTTTTGTCATCTTTTGGGTATGGAACAGCAGTCACTGGGTGTGTGTGTGTGGGGGGGTATTTGTGAATTTCCTATATTGTGTGTGGGGTTGGACTAGATGACCCTGGAGGTCCCTTCCACCTCTATGATTCTGTTATTCTAAGTATGCCAGCTGTAGCCTAAGTTATTCTTCATAAAACTATTCATCGTGGTGATGGAAGAAAATGTCAAGACATGCTAGCATGGCATGAGCATAAAGTTAGCATAGCTTCCCTTGGGTCTATACATGTATTATACTTTCTCCCTCTCAAGGGTCAGGTGGTCCTAACGACCCAATCAAGGGTCAGGTGGTCCTAACGACCCAATCAAGGGCCCTCCTTGGCAGAATTCTCCAGAAGCTGCCAGCACCCTCCTAATCCCCCCTCCCTCCTGATTATACAACTGGATAACAGGTTCTCACAATTGACCAATTACCACGTTCTGGAGTTTGGCCTTGGAAAAGATAAGCATGTTAGCTGCAAGGAGACTCAAATCACGAACACCTGCAAATCAGACCAGGCTACTTAATAATCACATTAGGGGAACCAGGGTGCTCTGCCTCACAGATCCATTCCGCTTATACTGGTTGAGGTTGTGGGCTTTGATCTTGACCATGGTTTGGTCCTTCCAGAAGGATGTTTGCTCTTGGATTTCTTTCCTTTCCCATGTAAGAATGATCACTTTCTCTCCTCCTTTATGTGAAAGGAGCCAGAAGAATAAGAGAGTCTATTGTGGAGACAGACAACGGCCTGGCATCTAAAGAAAGTCTGAGGATTTCCTCAAGAGGATCCCAGGAACATATTTCCTTCCCAAATGAACTGGCTGAGAGTGAGTATCCTTCACGGTTATGTCATGGGATCAGGCAAGGAATAGCCATGGGGGATTTCTGATTCACTTCTGAACAACATTTGGTTTGGTATAATCATACAGCCCACTGGATAAGGAGGGAGGGAGGCCTTCTGGGAGCCTAAAATCTGGAGGCTCAGAATCTCCTTCTGGGCAAGAGCTCAGCTGTGGCTCTTGAGGAGGGTGAGGTATCCTTAGATACTTGATATTCTGTGGAAAGGTGGAGGGGGGGTTAAGATCAGACAAGCTGGATGAGGCCAAAGGGCTGTCAAGCCTTTCCTCCTGCAATCGCATAGGTGCCTTTGGACCTTACCAGCCCTTCCAAGTGTTAACAGGCTCTCTCCATCTATTCCAGCAGAGGATGATCAGAGGAATGAGGAGGGTGAGGAACTTCATCAGCAAATGCCAGATAGAGTGACAAATGAAGACTTGAAAGGAAACGTCAGGACCCCAGGCGGTCCTAAGAGAAAGAAAGGCGGCCATGCGGTTGAAAAGAGAGGTGGAAGACAGCGTAATGTACATTTTCAAAAGCATAAGATAATGAATGCAAGTATATCTATTCAGTGTGAAAAGTACTTCAGAAATAAATCACAGCTACTTGTGCACCAAAGAGTACATGGAGGTGAAAACCCTTTTGAATGCTCAGAGTGTGGAAACCGTTTCAGTGAGAGAGGGAAACTTCAGCTGCATCTGACAAACCACACAGGGAAGAAACCTTTCAAATGTTCAGCATGCAGACAGAGATTCAGTCGGAGAGGCCATCTTCAACTTCATCGAAGAACGCACACAGGGGAGAAGCCCTTTGAATGCTCAGAGTGTGGAAACCGTTTCAGTGAGAGAGGGAAACTTCAGCTGCATCTGACAAACCACACAGGGAAGAAACCTTTCAAATGTTCAGCATGCAGACAGAGATTCAGTCGGAGAGGCCATCTTCAACTTCATCGAAGAACGCACACAGGGGAGAAGCCCTTTGAATGCTCAGAGTGTGGAAACCGTTTCAGTGAGAGAGGGAAACTTCAGCTGCATCTGACAAACCACACAGGGAAGAAACCTTTCAAATGTTCAGCATGCAGACAGAGATTCAGTCGGAGAGGCCATCTTCAACTTCATCGAAGAACGCACACAGGGGAGAAGCCCTTTGAATGCTCAGAGTGTGGAAACCGTTTCAGTGAGAGAGGGAAACTTCAGCTGCATCTGACAAACCACACAGGGAAGAAACCTTTCAAATGTTCAGCATGCAGACAGAGATTCAGTCGGAGAGGCCATCTTCAACTTCATCGAAGAACGCACACAGGGGAGAAGCCCTTAGAATGCTCAGAGTGCGGAAAGAGATTCAGTGTGAGTATCAGTCTTCAACGGCATCAAAGAACTCACACAGGGGAGAAGCCTTTTGAATGCTCAGAGTGTGGAAAGAAATTCTATCGGAGTAGGAATCTTCAACTACATTACAGAACCCACACAGGGGAGAAACCTTTTGAA